TGTAAGCGCCAGACGTCTGCTTTATATTTTTATTTACGATTGAGTTCATGTTTGTTTTATAATTCATAGATTCATTACATAAGTCATCTTTTCAGGATTAATTAATGCGAAAATATATGTGTTTACATAAATTAATTTTAAGTTACTGTTTTGGGACTGGAACCTAAAGGGGGTACCTCTCACTGTAAGTATGTAAGTGCAATAGTAGCATGAAACCCTGTGTGAGAGGGAAGGGGAGGTTAGGAGTCTCACGGTTTTCTGACCGTGTGCACAGGTAGTTCTGGATAACTGCTAACGATTTAGGAAGGAGTTCATTGTTACATCTTCAGTTTGTAATAAATAAACAGTCTTCAAATCATAATGCAACTGGAAGCATCAGCTTCTGCTGGAAACCAGGAACACGCGTCAGCCATAGACTCCCTTTTTGAACTTGGTTTATTGGAAATTACCCCACACTTATCTCATCTTTGTCGTGTTTTTAATAAAACATCAGTAGTAGTGAGCAAGCTTCTTTATTTTAACTTGGCTCACATCCATGCATGTAAACATAACCCGCCGCTGCCTCTACGACACAGTATATATCACAATTTGGTTTAGACAGCCCCCTAGTGGTGAAGCTGAACTAACCCACATAACGCCTATCAAAACAATCTTATCTCTCTCTTATCTAAAAAAAAAAAGAAAAAAGTTTTTCCTAATTTTCAACCACAATCAGAATTTGTATTTTTATTCTAATCGGTTTTAACAAAGCTGTGGACAAACGGCGAGTCGAAGCTGGACGGTTTTCGCGCTCGCCTTTTTTGTTCCTGGTGGGCTCCCGTCTGTCTCCATGGTAGCGCAGCCACCGCCATAGCGCGAGCGTTGTCTTGTTTTTGAGCAGTAGCAGTGCGGCGGCTCCAGAGAAACTGCTTTCTTCCACATTTAACGATAAAACCTGACAAATGTGAGTTCACCGAAACTCTCCGCGCTCATGTTTGTTACCGAGAGCGCCGTGAACGCGCAGAAGGAGCTTCCGGTCGTTTGTTTCGTTGTAAAACGTCTGTAACGTTTCAGGCGTTATTAACGGCAGCATCTTCAGTTTAACAGGTAACTGCAGTTAAACTATAATTGCCAAAACGGATTCATCCGGAATAAAAACGTTTCAGAGCTAACGACACAGAACGAGCTAAAGATGACAGAATAATGTGAAATAAATAAATACATTAAAGAAGTAT